AGCTAACTCTTTGGAACTCGAGTCTTCAATGTGCTGATTTTTAAATTTTGTTAGAAATGATGCACTGAGCCCACTAAACTTGAGAAAAGTAACCAGGAATCATAAGAAGATATGAGTTTTTTTTTTTCAGGTAACAATAATGAATGTTATTTTAATGTGGCATTTCTGTTCATTTCCACAACTCTCAGGAAATTATGATATTGGGAAGACTAATGACTTACCCGAGGTCCCTGGGCTAGGAGATGGGGGACAAGAACTCCAAACCATTCCTCCTGACTCTAAACCCTATGTCCTTCTCTTCTGTCCACAAGGTCTTTCCTGATCCTCTGTCCCTCACCCACTCACCCTTCTCCTGCATGTCTCCAACAGTGCCTACACAATCCAATTTCCACTTATTTGTGAACCTGAGATCTATTATTTCATGTAAGTCCTAGCTTGGTCTGGCCCACAGATTATAAACTCATGAGGGGAGAAGGTAGATTTAAACTTGTTCCATCTCTGACAACATTGTGCCAGGTGCATAGACCACATTCAGTGCCTACAATTGGGGTGATGGAAAAAAATCGGTCCCAAGTGCAGGGTCCTAAGAGCTGAAGATGATTTTTTTTTTTTTTTTTTTTTAGAAAGCAGGGTTTATTGAGAATACAAAAAAGCTCAGAGCAAGACGGGGTCTGAGGGGGTTGGCCGAAGATAATCTTGATGGTAGAATGTGCTCTGGGTGGTCGAGATGGAAAGTTCCCCTTGTGGGATTTGTTCTCCACTAAATCAGGCGTCAGCAGACTACAGCCTGTGGGCCAAATTCAGGTCATTGCTTGGAACACAGTCAGGCCCATTCATTTCTGTGGCTGCTTTTGTTCTAAAAGCAGAGCTGAGAAGTTGAAATGAAACTGGTTGGCCTTAAAGGCTAAAATATTTACTACTGGGCACTTTACGGAAAAAGTTTGCTAAATGCTGCCCAGACTGTAATTTCAGGGCAGTATCCATTCGTGTTTAATCGTCTTTTTATAGCAATGACTCACACAGGGTCTGGCAAATAGTAAGTGACCAATAAGTATTTGTTGAATGAAAGGATTGTTTTATTTGGTCTATTTAAGCACAATATACTATGTCCAGCTGTGATGAGAAATCCGGTAGGGGAATGGGATTCAGTATTCCTGTGACAAAATACCCAGGAAGGCCGAGCAGAGACAAAGTGGGTAGGACCTCTGGAGGCTGAATAAAGAATTTCAGGGAGAGAATCCCCTTGGAATTCACTGGGTAGCCTGCAAACCTTTTGCAGAAAGAAAATCAGTAGAGGGCCATCCCCATGTTTTTCTGGAGATGCCTCTACCTGAGTCTAGAGAAACAAACTTTTCTAAATAACTGAATTAGAGAATCTTTTCTTTTTGAGTCAGAGTATGCTCATGGCCTCCTAGTAGCTGGAGCTACAGGCATGTGCCACCACACCTGGCTAATTTTTTGATTATTGTAGAGACAAGGTCTCACCATGTTGCCCAGGCTGTCCTCGAACCCATGGGCTCAGGTAATCCTCTTGCTTCCACCTCCCAAAGTTCTGGGATTATAGGCATAAGCCACTGCGTCTGGCCCGAGAATCGCTTTTTATAATGTCACAAAAGGACAACTACCTACTTAAGTGATCACAGGCCAGTCACTTCACCTATCAACTAGAAATTGAGGACGGTATTTAGTGACAAGAAAATATTTTACATTTGTGTAAAATTTGTGGTTTTTAAATGTCTCCACAAAAAAGATAATATAGTTACCATTTATCTTTTGTTCTACTTCCCTTCCTACCCCATATCCACCCTTGCTGCCCAGTGTCCTCCAGCCAGCCATCCTCCCTTCCCAGACCAGACAAGACATAGGCCCTGCGGCTATTCTCTGTCCCCACACCCAGTCATCCTTAAAAAGTCATTTGACATCCTGTTCATCTCTGTGTCCATCCTGAGCGAGGTGGACAATTAGTGATAATAGGTTAACAATTAAATATAAACCCAACCCTGTCCCCACTGTCTTTCTTAGATAGCAGACATGAAGCCACCAAAACAGGACTTCTACAGAAGGCCCTAACTCTAACAGTGGCCGCTCCAGGATTTCTCTGTAGAAGGTCTTGGGGATCAGCTTGGAGGTGAGAGGACTTACCTTGAAGCTACTTTTGAGTGCACAGTTTTTACTTAATTTGTGTATTTATCTGGGGAGGCCTGGGGAGGTGAAGGATAGGGAGGGAGGGGGCTGATGTCCTATAAGCTGTCTCTTGTCGCTGACACTGACCTGTGAGGACTATGATGCTACTGGCGAAAACCAAGCAGGTAGGGACCAACTATCCAACCAGCCCCCAGACAGAGGTTATACAAGTCGCTACTGGGTTGGAATCCTGCCTCCACATCTTATTAACTGTGAAGCCCTTCTAACCTGTTAGTGCCTCAATTTCCTCACCTGTAAAATAGATACAATAATATTACCTATTTCATAGTGTCATTATAGAGATTAAGCAAGTTAATCATGTAAAGTGTTTAGAGTGGTGCCTCGCATACCTAAGTGCTAGTTTTTATCAAGCTCTTCACTAGTCATTTAAAAATATATCTCAAATGTCTACCAAGTAGGTAATGAACTACGCAGGAAGCAGCAGACTTGCTGATATGTTGGACAAAAGCTAGGTGGATCTCAGCACACCTGAGGCTAAGCCCTAACACTGCCTCCACAAGTTCAGCAGGAGATTACAGGTGGCACTACGGTGACTGCAGGACAAGAGTCATCAACTTCCTTTCCCACTTGGTATGTGAAGGGAACTCCCGTTTTGCCTCTGTGATCTCTGTGAGTTTGCTAAGAGCTGAAGAAACTCCTGGAAAGGATCCTGTAAGCCATCAGCAGAAATCTGGATTTGTCAAATCCTGGAAGGCTTCACTGGGCTCCAGAGAACATGAAGGAACTTAGAAGTAGATGATCTAGCCAGGCCAAGAAATCATGTTTTCCTTCTCTGAGCCTTTGGAACATTGAATACTTGGCTCTGTCTTAGCCATGTGTCATCACCCTGGACTACAGTCACAGTGATCTGATATCTGCCCCAGTTGCTCTGTCCTGGGGACAGGAATGACGTCTTGTCTCTATGACCTTTGCATCCTCAGTATCCAGTACCCAGGAGTGTTCCACAAGCGTTGGTGGAATTACTAAGGGGTAATCAACTCTAGACCTCAGAGCGGAATCTTCAATCTACAAAGGACTGTGATATGACCACTCAAGCATCAAGTAAATACAGATTGCTTAAAAACGAATCAACAAAACACAAGACACTAGCATCTGTACCTGCAACACTGTGGTGTAGCTTTTTTTGGTGACCAAAGATAAACAACATATTCTCAGTTGGGATGTTTTATATTCTATGTAGCTTTTTTGGTGACCAAAGATAAACAACATATTCTCAGTTAGGATGTTTTATATTCTATGTCAATTCCATACCATCCTCCTTCTCTTTCAATAAAACAAAATGTAATCTGGCTGGGTGCGGTGGCTCATGTCTGTAATCCCAGCACTTTGGGAGTCTCAGGTGGGCAGATTGTTTGAGCCCAGGATTTTGAGACCAGCCTGAGCAACACAATAAAATCTCATCTCTACAAACAAACAAACAAAAAAATTATCTGGGTGCGGTGGCATGCCTGCAGTCCCAGTCACTCGGGTTGCTGAGGTAGAAGGATCGCTTCAACCTAGCAGGTCGAGGCTGCCATGAGCTGTGATTGTTGTGACTGTGTCACTGCACTCTAGTCTGGGAGACAGAATAAGACCCCGACTCAAAACAAAAACAAAAAACACACTGTAATCTGTGCTGTCCAGTAGAGTGGCCACTAATCTCATGTACTATTTAAATTAAAAAAGAATTAAATTTAAAGTTCAGTTCCTCAGGGATATCAGCCATGTTCCCAGTACTCAGCAGCCTCAAGTGGCTCTTGGCTGCTGTCTGGGACAGCACAGACATCAAACATTTCTACCATCACAGAAAATTCTGTGGGGCAGCACTGCTATAGAATCTGTCCTGTCACACTAAGAAACGTTAACTTAGGCAAATAAAATTTAACAGCACTTTCACAATCAATAAAGCTAATCTATTGCTCCCCTGCAATATCAAAACCTTCCAAGTTTGTTCTCTCATAAGTAATAAAACACAGTAAGTGAGATGTTCTCTCAGCCTAATCCACATTGTCATGTTGTTGTTCTTCACAATTTATGTATTTTTATAAATAGTATTAATTCCGCCAGCCTGCTACAGTGGGCCGCCAGTACTCTCATGCAGTCATGGATGACTTAGAGCAGTTTAACGCAGGGGATGGCTAGTGTGAGCCCTTGGAGAAGGGGGTTCATCAATCTGGCATGCGTCTCAGCATTGTTATGGAACATTAATGAGGTTGGGCTCAATGTAAAAGCCATCCAAGGCATCCATAATGGATTGGTAACATTCAGTTTCACAGGCACTGGGAATTTCTGAGCCATAATCCTAGCTCTTCTGCTAATGAGTGTTGTGATATGGGGACTAGCATTTAACTTCTAAGTTTCAGTTTCCTGTCCTTAAAATGGGGCTATTACTGACCTACCTAACCCAGTGTCCAGAGGATTAATGAGTTAATGTTTGCAGAGAACTCCAAGCTCTTTACATTAAGACATGCTGTGCATCATTATTTCCATTCATTCTCATGTAGCAGCTGGGAAACATTAGGACTATTATGTTTACTCCATCTAAAATGCATTTTCCTTCTCAGCATTTTAACATTACCTATGTTACCCAAGCCTTATATCTAAAAGTAAAACAAGGCCCACAGCAAGGGTACACTGATGAAGTGGGTATATTCAGATAGTTTTTCCTTCCTTTAGCACGAGCGTAACCTCAGCTTTTCCAACAGGATGAAGGTAGTAATTGCACTGTAAATTCTCCTTGCATGAGCCTGGCGGTCAGTCTTATCAGATGTGAAAGGAAAGTTCTACAACAGCATGATGACACTGCCGATACTTACATGCAATGATATTCCCATATCTGTTCTTCATTCTGTTCTCATCTTTCTTAGCTGAGTCCCATGGTGCAGATTGCCCTTCAAAGAAGCTCTAGAAGGAAGAGAAAGTGACACTAAGAATTACAATTTGGTGCAGTAAACAGAAAGATCTTAATGATGGAAGACATTCTTAAAATAAGTGTAGAACAAGGGTCAAGATGGAAACAGTGTTCACAGGAATGAGATAAGGGGCTATTAAACTACTTAATACATTAAATATTTCATTTAGCTTTTTCAAAACTTTGTTTTCCTTTAGTTAATATCTTACAAACACAGGGATAGAAGCTGAAGAGTGAATCTACAATTTATCTGCACAATCCAGTAAAGATGGTCACATGTTTGTCCCTATCCTACCTCAACATTTAATGCAGAAAAATAACATTTATCTCAATTTCTTAGTTATATACCATTTTTGAATATTCTCGTAAGAGAAACAGAGATATATTTTTTCTCCTTAATTGCTAACTGAAAGGTTATTTTTGATTAAAATTGTGAAAGTAGGTAAGTTAAGACTTTATGACTTCAGGGATGAAATCCTGTAATAAACTCTACAAGCTTTCTCTTCATTTTTGATGAAGCTTAGATGTCCATTTATTTGAGGATTTGGCATTATTACTGTCGAGATCTTTAATCTTCACATTATTAGTTATCTTTTTATGTCTAAGTTGCAATGAAAATGTCATTTACTACAAGTGGACAAGTAAAAAAAAATCTAAGTGGACTTCTCTTTCCACTTGAGTTCACATTACTTTTCCCTTTATATAATAGTCAACTGTAGGAGGAGGTTATGGGAAAGGATGGAAGCAAGTAGAGTTCAGTAAGTCTGATTTCTTGTTTTTGCCACAGCCACTGCTAGACTTCTTGGCACTCACTGGGAAACGAGGGAAGAAGGAGAGATAAAGGCAGAGCAGATGAATGAAAGCACCATTCTGGAATGCATTATGGCCAGAGAACGTGGGGTCAGGGACTTGTGTCCTCAGATATGTCCCATGGTGGCTTTCCAAGTTCTGCCTTCAATCGAAGCTCTTCCTTACTCTCCAGTCAGGATCCCATCTGTGCTGTTTGGCCATCTTGGCTATTTCCATGACTTGCAACATTACATGTTAGTACGTAGTTCCTCAGAAAGTATCTTTTCCTTCTTAGATCCAGATCCCCCTCATTAGGTAAATTGCTCCTTAGTACTGCAACAGTAGGACTCTGTTGCTTGCAGATGCCACAGGGTCTCTGTGCCCTACTCTGCCTGCCTGCATGTCACCTAGCACCCTGATCCTCTGTTGTTTCTATATCTGCCTGTGCCACCAGTGTGTGGAGTCTCTGAGAGCACGGACTGTGTGTTCATAATTTTGTTTGTCCAGAGCCTATGTCTCATAGTTGGAAATCAATAATTAGTTACTGAATGAATGAAAGATTGCTGTGTTTGGTTATAGTATGTTTTGGCTTTAATCTCAAAGTAAAGTTTTATTTCTGCAGCTTAAGTGTATGAGGGGCTCCAAGACTTGGAAAACCTAACTATTGGGGTAACCCTTTTGGGTCCCCTCCCCCTGTGGGAGCTTTTCTGTCCTCTCAATAAAGCCTGATTTCTCACTAAAAAAATAAAAAGGAAAAAGAAAAGAAAACCTAACTATCCACTCTTTGTAGATTTCATACTGTCATAATAATGTCCATGTCTTTTTTGTGATCTGTTAGGTACTGATATCACTATTACCACATAGCCTAGCTCCCATCAGACACTGGCTGGAAAAAAGCCCGGTCTCAGCTCTTTCCCACCTTTGGACTTCAGATCTTATTGTCAGTACATCCACACAGCAAAATAGCTGGAACAGACACCACTTAGTAACATGCAAGAACAAAAAGATAACGCTACAAACATTAAGACTTAAGAGGCCGGGCTCGGTGGCTCAGCCTGTAATCCCGCACCTTTGGGAGGCTGAGGTGAGTGGATTGCCTGAGCCTGCGGGTTTGAGACCCGCCTGGGCAGCAAGACCTCATCTTTACCATAAAATCAAAAAATCAGCCGGGCGTGGTGGCGCATGCCTGTAATTCCGGGTACTCGGAAGGCTGAGGCGGAAGGATCGCCGGAGCCCAGCAGGTCGAGGTTGCGGTGGCTGGGAGCGGCCACTGCACTCCAGTCTGGGCGACAGAGTGAGACTCCAACTCAAAAAAAAAAAAAAAAAGACTTAAGAGGTTTAAATTGCCCATTTGAAGTTAAGTCCCCTTAATTGTGATCACAGTTGACATCTTATTGTAACAGTTTTTACATTATATTTATAATTTGAAAAAACATGGGAGCAGAGCAGGATCAGATATACTATATATGAATAGCTATATTAATAGATTCACGCCATGGGTTGCTAGTTGAAGAGTAAAGTACTAAACAATACAGGACAACACAAATATAAACATCTTCAGGTTATTAATAAGTTAAGCCAATACAAATACTATCAGCAAAGATCACTAGTTAATTCTATCTAGAATAAGCCTTAATATAATTAGGGGATTTATTCAAACATAATATGCAATTAAAAATAGCTTCAGGAATTTTAAAGTCAGATACTCTTTTTCTGAATAGTGTCTTTGTTACTCTATGAATGACAATCATTTTATAGTTAAGTAATAACTATTATTTGACTCCAACAATTTAACTCGACTTTGAATTTGCCATGATTTAATTATCAAATTCACTTCCCTCTGTCTTTCCCATCCGTCTAAAAAGTTTTCAGACTTTGTTTTTTGTAGGAAGATGGAAAAAGATAACTGACTTTGGGAGAGACCTTGAAGTCTTCTAATAAATCCACAGCTTCAAATCAGAGAGAAATGTTCCCAGATCACCTGAGGCCCAGCCTCATGTGGGGACCTGAAGCATGAGTCCCTGCCCACTCTGGACACACAGAGGCTCTCCTGCAGGAATGACACTAGCATCATGGCTGTGCTTCTTTAGCATTTGTGGTAATCACAGGACTTCCAACAGCTCTTGAGTTTAAAAACAATTATTTTAGTTTTATTGCTTTTATGTAATTGGTGACCAAGAAACAGATACAAATAAATAATGAAGTAATAACCAATTGCATTCCATTTGAGCACTACAGTTCCCAGAATGTTTTCACGAGGGCAAGGTCCAAGTGTTTTCCACCTTTAAGCGCTTACTATGGTGGACATCAACAAGTGTGTGCAGACAGACGAGTCATCATCTCATCTGGTCCCCACTTGAGGGCCGTCAGGCACTGAGGGGTGACTTCTGTGCTTTATAGATGAGGGATGTGAGATGGAGACAGACACCTAACATAGTTCCTAACACAACTTAGATCAGAACTCAATGTTTTTTGAAGCTTAATCCACTGCTCTTTCTGTACCACTCACACCCTGGCAATGGCTTTAGGGAAAAACAGTATTAAATCCACTTAAATATGTACGGTCACCAATTGTTCTCCATACCAAGATTGTATTTTCTTGTCTCTAAATGAAAGTTCACAACAAGAGAATATAAAAGATGTCAAGTAAACTTTGTTTAACTGTTGGTTACTTTTATACAACAGGAATTTTTCTTTTCTCATATGAAGTGTGTTCATGCATGGAAGCAATAGCAGGAGAAGTTGACATTCTTGAAATGAGCGTCACAATCGCCTATTCAGGAATTATGTAAATCACCATAAACAGCAAATTGTATTTTTTCAAACAAAGGCAAAACAAGAACAAAAAAGAAAAAAGATCTGAGAAAAAGATCCGATAACTAGTGCCTCCACAGATGAATGCCACAGTCTTTTGATTCTTTCACTTTCTGGAAGTTTTGCTTCCAATTAAATAGCTGATATCCCTATGAATACATCTGCATTATTAAGACCGTGTATCCTTATCCTTGGCTTGGAAAACAAGTAATATATCTATGGAAGCCCACAGAGAAAAGGGAAAGGCTTTCTAGACTGGTTGCCTTGGCTTTTATTTCCTTTTGTTATGGGTATTAAAACATTTTTTTTTCTAAGATGGACTCAGTTTTAAATGTTATAGCTTTTTATTAACATATACTTTCAAAGTATCTGGGAAAATATTTACCTTAGATTTTAGACTTATACCTATAGTAGGACAAATGTCTACTGTTTTAATTTCTAGCTAGAAAATAAAACTTTATCTATATCTCTAGAGCCATTGGGTAATCAGAGAAGTCATGATATGATGATGCCTGGGTCTCTCACATCGTGTGCCCTGGAAATTCTCAGAGCAAGTCCGGGGCAGGAACACAGGTCATCAGTACCATTAGTGCCACAGGACACTGCTTCATTGATGGTCCGCAGTCAGGTCTGGCAAAGCCGTGTAGCTCCAGAGATGGCAGACATACTTCCTTTATTCCTCCTTCCCCGAAGAGACTCGGGCTTCTCTGATGACATTGTGAATCCACCTCTCACCTCCCTTTTTTGTAGACCACGACATGGGCAGATAGTCACTGAAAATCCTACCAGCAAAACGTGACTGAGAAAAACCAAGTACCTTGAATAATCTATAATTTTGTTATGCTAGTATTCTATTATGTCCATTTTTCACATACTTTTTGGCTTTTAAGTATCTTTCAATGAATTAAGCAAAGTCAATGCACATTTTATAAGATTTTCTCCCATGCATTCTTCTTTGGGCAAGAATAAAAAGTTATTTAACTATCATTTTTTTTATCTTCAAAAGGTTAAAAGTAACACATATTCCTTTAGAATTACATAAATTGAGTTACTGAATGTTTTGAGAATAATTCTACTCCGAACCAATATTCTTGGGAAGTAATGATCACATATTGTTTATGTTGTATCCAGAGAAGAATAATTCTTTTTACATTTGTTGAAAGTAAAGCCCAACAGGTTTTGAAATCTCCTAGTGCTGAGACAGAAAAAAAACTGTGTTCCTTGATAGAGTGAGGACTTTCTGAGCATATGCCAAGGACTGGCTTCTGGTCTCTCAGGGAAACTTTGCTTATCTTCTCCTTGCATCTCTCTGTGTCCCAGACAAATCCTTATATTCAAGTTTAAAAGCACAACCTCACATTTCTTCTCTATCTCTTCTCTCAGAGTTTTT